GATAAGGCACTGAAGTAGAATGTAGGAACTTGGCATATTTTGGGGATTTCAGCCTTCTGCTAGTTTTTAGGGCTTGTCCTTGATCCAACTTGAAATACAGCATTTCTGGGGCATGCAATTTCCTGCAGGCTCTACAGAATAAGTTAGTTTTAATTTTTCCTTTTTCTGCTTTATTGTCTAATGTGGTGTGTGTATTTGCAGATGGAACAGTGTGGCAGTTTTTAGTAGACTGACTTTATTACATCCAAAGGCTTGTAGAATTATAGAATAGTTTGGGTTGGAAGGGACTTCCAGAGGTCATCTAGTCCACAGGCTTTGGTGGGACAGTCAGTGGAAGTATAGTTTAAGTTGTGCATACAAATTATAATGAATTGACTTCTAACTGTAATAAAGAATAATTGCCTTGTCCTAGATGCTACAAATTACTTACATTATGATTTTATATGAATAACTAATAAATTATGTGAAAGAAGGAAAGTATTAAAAAACCCTGCCCACAGCATAGGTGTATTTCATCTGTACATCTTCACTAATATACATTTGAGGTCATGAAAGCATTGTACTAATTCCAGCTTTTACCCAGCTAGACAAATGCAAGGAAAAAGTAAAATGATCCCCAAATTAACAATCTTTTGCATGTTAATCTTCAAGAGATTGAAAGTTCCAGTCTTCAAGAGATTCAAAGTAGCACTTTATATGAAGACAGCATAATAAAACTTGTTCTTGTGCTTAAGTAAATGCAGTGTGGCATTATGTGTCTTTGGAAATCTGACCTAAAATTTGACTGTCTTTGCTGTAACTGAGAAAATAGTGCAACTTTAGCGTAGTTTGGGGGCATTTTAAATTAAATGTGGTTTGAAAATGTAAGTTCAGCTGTATATATTGAAATTAAGATCTTCAGGTTCTAACCAGTTGCAGGCAAAAACAATTGCAGGTCATGTTTTTGCTTCAATACATTGACATAGAGTGAGTAGATAACTTAAGAGTGAGTAACTTAAGAATATGTAAATAGAAGAATATGATAAATACTGGTTTGAACCAGTCTAACATTCTGTAGCTGCACTTTTGACTTGCAGGAAGAAATGTCAAGTATTCATCAGTCATGTTATATTTGAAGGTGCTTTGCTTAGAATTTAGTATCTTATGAAAGCCAGTATGGAGGTATATGCATTTAGGGAGGTATGTGCATTTAGGAAGAGTTAACATTTTAGCTACCTTTAGCAGAGGAAATGCAAACAATCCTCCCAACAGAACAGCTGCTGTCATTATTATAGATTTCTTCATTTTAAATAAGTATCCCAAACAGTGTAAAAGGATGAATAATTTTAATGAAACTGATGCAAAAGAAGTGGTTTGCACTCCCAGGAAGTGAGGATGATTTCCATTCTTTTTAAAATTTCCATTCCACATGTTACCTAAAGCTTTTTCCGTTGAAGATGTACCTCGTAAGAGCTTGCAAATAATTTGCCCTTGTATTTTGCTTTTGATTTATTTTTTCTTTCTTCTTCCTGATACCAGTCTTTAAGGTCTAGGGTTAAATTGTAGAACTTGTTCCTAATGTAATTCCTTCTCTTCCCACCCCAATTATGTTGCTGTCAGTCATATGACTTGCTATTGTTCATGGGGCACTAGCGGGGAAAAAAAGTGAGGTTAGTAGAATCGCAGTCACTGTATATGACTGTCTTATCAAAACTGTTCTGTGCAAGCTGTAGTAGGAAGAAAGGTCTTTTGGGGGGTTTGGGTTTTGATGTTTTTGTTTCTTTGTATTTTGTTAGTTGTTGGATTTAGTGGTTTTTTGTTTGTTTGTTTGTTTGTTTTTTTTTATATTGCTTTTTGTGAATGCTCAGCCACTTAATTGGACCCGGAGGAAGGAAAAGATGGGTTTGGTGCTTTAACTTTTAGTTGCATAAGGAGTTCCTTTTTCAGGCAAATTCCTACTTACTAGTTCGTTACTATTAAATTGTATCTTCCTTCAGTCAAGAGATTGCCTTTTGCTCTGTGCAGCAGGTGTCAGTCAAAGCCTTTGAGTTGTATCAGAGTGCCAGTGAACATACTTATGTGTCTGGATGTACAGGCAATTCAGGTATTCAAATAACAGATACAAAATATTTCAAGTGCCCTAGAACTTGGAATCCTGAATCATAGAATCATAGAATGGTTAGGGTTGGAAAGGACCTTAAGATCATAAAGTTCCAACCCCCGTGCCATGGGCAGGGACACCTTGCTCTAAACCGTACCACCCAAGGCCTTGTCCAACCTGGCCTTGAACACTGCCAGGGATGGAGCATTGACAGCCTCCTTGGGCAACCTATTCCAGTGCCTCACCACCCTAACAGGAAAGAATTTCCTCCTTATATCCAATCTAAACTTCCCCTTTATGTTTTAACCCATTACCCCTTGTCCTATCACTACAGTCCCTAATGAAGAGTCCATCCCCAGCATCCCTATATGCCCCCTTCAGATACTGGGAGGCTGCTATGAGGTCTCCACACAGCCTTCTCTTCTCCAGGCTGAACAATCCCAACTTTCTCAGCCAATCTTCATATGGGAGGTGCTCCAGTCCCCTGATCATTCTCGTGGCCCTCTTCTGGACTTCTTCCAACAGTTCCATGTCCTTTTTATGTTGAGGACACCAGAACTGCACACAGTACTCCAGGTGAGGTCTCACGAGAGCAGAATAAAGGGGCAGGATCACCTCCTTTGACCTGCTGGTCACATTCCTTTTGATGCAGCCCAGGATACAGTCAGCTTTCTGGGCTGCCAAGCGCACACTGAAGCCGGCTCATGTTCATTTTCTCATCAACCAGCACCCCCAAGTCCTTCTCTGCAGGGCTGCTCTGAATCTCTTCTCTGCCCAGCCTGTAGCTGTGCCTGGGATTGCCCCAACCCAGGTGTAGGACCTTGCACTTGTCATGGTTAAACTTCATGAGGTTGGCATCAGCCCACCTCACAAGCGTGTCAAGGTCCCTCTGGATGGCATTCCTTCCCTCCAGCGTATCAACCGAACCACACAGCTTGGTGTCATTGGCAAACTTGCTGAGGGCGCGCTCAATCCCATTGTCCATGTCAGCGATGAAGATGTTAAACAAGACCGGTCCCAACACCGATCCCTGAGGGACACCACTCATTACTGGTCTCCAGCTGGACATTGAGCCATTGACCACAGCTCTTTGTGTGCGGCCATCCAGCCAGTTCTTTATCCACTGAGTGGCCCATTCATCAAATTGATGTCTCTCCAGTTTAGAGACAAGGATGTCGTGAGGGACAGTGTCAAACACTTTACACAAATCCAGGTAGATGACATCAACTGCTCTACCGCTGAGCTCTGAAACTGCATCTATCTCTTCTCTTATTTCAACATCAACCAGACTTTTGGCCTTCATCCTATTACATTAACTCCTCAGTCTCTCTCTGGCTGTATAGTCATTACAAGATGGTGAGATTTGAGCTCCCTATTTTCTATTTCACCTTTCCCTGACACATCCTCAATTTAATCTTCCTGTTGCTTAGTTTTTGCAAAAATGGGCTAAACCGCAGTGAATCTATGACTCTAGTATTTTGCCTTTTGAAAGAATATATGTTATGACATATAAATGAACTCAAAGTTCTTCTGTTAGTGATTAGAATATAAAATAACTCAGCTTTAAAAGGACTTCACATTATCCTTTCTAAGTCTTCGATTTTCTAATGATTTAACAAATAAACAAGAAGGAAAAAGAAGGAACTTCTGTTTGCCATAAATATGTATGTTTCCTTTTTCCAAATAGTCAGTGAACGTAATAACTTGCTCATTGCCCAGCTCTTCTACTTGGCCAGAGCCCTCTATTGTCTTTGTATTCATTGTTACTTTCTTCACAGAGAAGAAACTGGGGTAAAAGCTTGAAACTCATTCTTGTCTGGGGGTTTTGCGGAACACAAGGCAGGAAAAAGCTTAGGATTGGGTTTGTGTGTGGGTTTTGTTTGGGTTGTAGTGGGGTTATTTTGAAGAATCCTATCTGGTTCCTTTTGCTTTAAGTGTCAACCCTTCATCCTTGATGTGATTTCTATTAACATCACCAGGTGTTTTCCTCAGCATCTGGTACACTGAGCTAAATAATGTTTACAAAAATTACCTCGCATCTGGATCTAGTGAAAACATGGTAGATACTCCTTAGTGCAGTGTTCCTTCATGCCTGGGATAGTACATTCTTCAAACTGCAGTTTATTTACACTAGCACCACTTACTTAGGAGTTCTAAAAACATAACATTCAGTTTGTGGCTGTGGGAACAAAATGCTGTTTATAAGTACAGCAAAGCTAAGCCTCTTGAAGAATAAAAAGGAGGGGGAAATGCATCTTCGATTTTCTAGTGAATGGGAGATGTTTGGTAAGAAGGATGTATGTTGAAAGGGTTCAGGAATAAGATGATCAGATGATACATGGTGTATCCCCAGGTTTAGAAGTTTCTATTTCCGTAATCTTCCTGTGTACTTCAGGACCAGGTATCTGGATATCTGACACATGGATTTGAAGGATGGATTTTTCAGAAAAACTATAGATCCCATAAAAGCATAACCAAAGCCTGGTTAAGTGGAGAAGAAGTGTCAGCTTTTATCAAAGTGATTCAGAAGTAGAAGTTTATGGGGGTTTTTGTTCATTTGTTTGTTTTGTGGTGTTTTGTTTTTTTGTTTTGTTTTGTTTTTTTGTTTGTGTTCCAAACATGGCTACAATGTTTGGAACACAAAAGCCATTTTAGATATTTTCCGAAAAGAGAAAATGAGACATTGAGTGAGTGTCCAGTGTTTTTATCTGCCCTGCTCCTTGTCTCTGTGTCTTGACAGGAGTTGTGTTTCTCTGGACATCCATTTTCTTGCATCAGAGATTTTTGGGATCTTATTAGTGGCTTTTGAGTAATAACATTAATACTGGACTTGTGTTAAATAATTTCTCTTAAAAGATAAAATGAGCTAAATGGATGTAGAACACAATCAGATTAACTAGGCACACTGTTTCTTTTCTAGTGAACAAGCACAAGCCCTGGATTGAGACGTCGTACCATGGAATCATAACTGAAAACAATGATACTGTAATCCTGGATCCTCCCCTTGTTGCTTTGGATAAAGATGCACCTGTTCCATTTGCAGGTAGGAATATCAGCATTTTTAATAATGAAAACTCTAGAATTATGTCAGTAAATTTTAATTTTCTTTTATAGAAAAGAATCATTACAATTGCCTAAAATAATGTGTAGTTAATTTTGTTTAGTAATATCAGCCTTTGCTTCCTCTCTTCTGGTTCAGGTCTCTGGCTATGGACAAAATTCTGTGACAAATAATGAATGTTACTCAAATCTTGTATTACTTTGTTAGTCCTTTATAACTGTCAAGACTTAGACAGAAAATTTAATGGTGGTTTTGAAGATTTTTGCTCAGATTGCTATATGATAGATCTAGGTCATATGGAAGTTTTTACTTGTATTAAGTCTATTTTTCCTGACACGAGTTCCGTAAGTGGAAAATAGGACTTGTGCATGTCAAGCAAATTTTCGCTTAAGTTCCCTGTTTCATTACAAATGTTTTTTAAATTAAAGGGAGGGTATTAAGACTTGATAGCTGTTGTGAAGCTCCTAAATAAGATGTAGCTGTTAAAAAGATTACATTGTTTAAGAATGTGTGTCTTTAATAAGGAAAGGAGCTAGTGAAGATATTATCTTGTGGAATACAGTCATGATCAGTAACTACTAAGTACTTGGCCAAATCAGTATTTTAAAACATCAGGTAAGATTAACCATTTTCCCCAAAGGCATGTAGTGGCATCAACTCATCCCCTGTCAAACAGGGATTCACAAATGCTTTTTATATATTGAACCCAATTTTTTTATCTTGTATCAAGATTGGTTTGTCACTGGTAGTGTCCCATGGTTTTTGGTTGCACAGAAGACTGTTTTTCCCCTCAATCATGTATGCACTGGGGATGTTCAGTGCAGGGGACTTGGCTTAATTTGGTCAAAGCTAAAAGCCTCAAATAGTATAGATGCATAGATACAGAAACCTCAGCATGAAACAGGTCCCATGGCACCAAGTTACGTCCTAATCAGTGCCCAGTTGGAGATAAGTAGCTAGCCTATAACTGGGAGGTACTAATTATAATCAGCGCTCATGTACTTCATGCATAGATGCTTAGGATAAGGCATCCTTAAATCAGTTACTAGTTTTTGAAGCAAAGGAAAAAGTACTTGATTCCAATTTTCTTGTTTATTTTAATATATAGCTGCCTCTTCATGAATGAATTAAAAAAAATGGAATGAGATTTTGAATGCAAGGATTTAATCTATCCGTGAAATCTTCAGCTATGGTTGTTTAGCAGTGAAGATTGATTCCTAGTGAAAAGATGCCCTTTTCATTTGGGGAGGGGCAATTTTTCTATTGCTATGAATGTTCCATCTCCTATTTGCTTCCTCTGCTTGCATTCCCTTGGGACCCTTACAGGAATGTCAAATCACATGTGCTGTTTCCATTGATAACATTTACAGACTCTGCTGACTGAGGATTTACTAACCTGATTACTGTATTCAGTTTTTACACTGGGACAATCGACACATGAGCGATTTACTCTTCTTGTAGAAAATCATCCTTTGAAATAGTGAGCTTGCGCAGACAGGTTGGCTTTTGTGATAAAGGTTACATCAGAAAGGAGTTTTCATATATCGTCTTCATTGATTGATTTGAATTACTTATATTTTAAGAAGTATTATTTGTACTTGGAGAGAAAATACTTGCTGTGTATTCCCTGATACTAATAGTTCATTTCCACATAATACTCTACATTTGGCCTCAAGGTCTGCAATCCAGACATAATGTTATAGCACTGATTGAACATTAAATTCCCATGAAGAGGCTGGATTCCGTACCTGTGAGGAAAAACCTCTATGTGCTTTTTTGTTTTAAGGCTCTTGCCTTTTTAAATTGTTGGAGTAACTTATTATTTCTATTTTAAATTTCTGCTTTAATATAATGTAATTTTATTCAGCTTTATCATATTGTTAATTTTATTATAGGCCTTTATGTAAAATTCCATTTGTGTAATGTATTTAGCAGGAGAAAACTGACTACGGATAGAGCTACAACATTAACAATATTTAGTAGCAGTACATTTAAGAGTATTGTAATGTGGATTTTTTTCTGATACCATAATTTAAGTGGGGAAAATTTATTCTACAGTATAATAGATCAGTCTTCATTTGTACCAGAGAATCAGAGCTTTAGCAGTTCCTTTCCATCACCTTATTAATATTTTCAGCATTTTGTCCAACTATTGTTAAAAACCTGTATGTCTATTTGTTCCATATTTATTCCTGTATCTTGCTCGTGAGGGTATAGTTCTTTTTGCACCATGCTTAACCTGTGGAAGTAAAGGTAGTTATTTCTTGTTTATGGTCATGGCAAGGAGAGCTTCAGAGAGGAGGTGCAGTAGTGTGAGGTCAGAAGGCATGCCAAGTCACAAATAAGTGTGCTGGGGCCGTCCACCGGAAACTATAAACCTCAGTGAGATTTATTTTTTTTTTTCCTTCAAGTTGTCTGCATTATGCTTTATAAATCAGAGCTAGTGTTGAAGTCTGGGATGTCTGTAGGTAGGCTAGGACTGTGGTCTCTAGGATTATAATGGTAGCAAGATGTGCACTATCAATAGGAGATGCCAACAGGTAATGAGATGGCAGTGTTCTTCCAATGCAGAAAAGCACAGGTCTGTTGTATAACCCTGGCTCGAAGGAACCAGGAGGGGCTGCCACTCACCGTGCACGCTCTTTAAAAGCCATGTGAAAGTTCAGTTGTTTGTGGCATAGACCTACTCTAAACTATTTCTGTTTTCTCTTCTGGAAACTTTAACACTGCCCTAATACCTGTTGCCTTTTCCCTCTCCATTGCTACTAACGTCTTGTCAAACTGTTCTAGTAGTACACACATTATGGTACATGTCAAAGCCCTAATCATGGACTGGTCACAAGAGAAAATTGCTATAATCTGCACTTTTTTCTCTGTCTTGTTTAAAATCAAGGGTGATGACAGGAGGAGAAAGGAACCTTCTGTGCAGTTACCCTCTCAACAGGTCTATATTTCCACGGGGAACTAATAAGACTATAACAGGACTAAGTGTGCCTGTGAAAGTGCTGGCTGTCAAATGTGATCAGCCAATTTCATAACTGGAGCATGAAGGCTTTCATGAGATTTCAGTCTTTGGTATTTCTTCATCTTACGAAGTTATCGTGAATTGTGCAACAATTGGAGTATATGTAAAATTGTAGTTTAAAAAATTATCATGGTATGAGCATATTTATCTTTCATTTTTCAGACTCTGAGTAGATCTTTCTGACCCCTAGTTTTGAAGGAAAGCTTTCAGATACTGTTGCAAATGGTTAGGTGTGAGAAGGAATGTGGATCGTTTTCTAGCTTAAGTTTTTCAAGTCCTGACCTGAAAGGGATTTTCACACACTGGTGTTGAGATAACTGGACTCACCACAGCTTCCTTGAAGGTGTCACAGTAAAAGCCCCACAAACCCAACCCCCAAAACATGAACAAACTGCAAGTCTTGTAGAAACAAGTTATGCCTTCCCTACTTTTTTTTGGACAGTATTGTGTTGGTGCAGTTATGAGCTTATTATCTTATTATTAATTTAGGGAAATCCATTGGAGGAATCTATTTAAAATAATGTTATAAAATCAGAAGAATGAATGTAACATCAGGTAGACTTGCACTAACCTGCAGGATCAGCCATACAACAGGCAGCTATCATATGCTGGCTATGAGGCTGGAAATCACTTCGGGGATTTGACTTTCAGGCTTAGGAGTGGTTTGGCTAGAAACAAGATGAGATAATCTGAATTGATCTGACAGTATTCTCTTTCTGTGATATCAAGAAGCCCTCACAAAATGCTGTAGGAGTTTGAAAGGCTTTTTTGAAAGGATACCTGTCTGCATTTCAGTAACAGCAACTCCATTTCATCAGCAGTGTTGTGCAAAAGTATATGTGAAGGGAACTTCAGGATGTCTCCAGTCCCTCCTGCCTAAGGCAGTACCTATTATACCTGTGCCATTCCTGATAAATAGTTGTCTGTCCTAAAGATCTGTAGTGACAGAGATGCAGCAGCTTCTCTGGGCAATCTGTTCCGCACTTCACCATATTCAGTGTTTTTTTTTGTCATGCTTAACCTGAGCATTCTGTACTGCAGTTTTAGCCCATCAGTTTTTCCCTATCCACCATGGCTAGGTGGAGCAGATTATTCCAGTTCTTTTTTTGCAGCAGTGGCCTTTTATGTTATTCCCTAAAACCACTGTGAGCATCCTAAATAGTGCAGGGGTCGGGGGTGCCTTTGGCTAGCCTTTGTGTTACTGATACAGGTGTGAAGCAGAGAACTAGAAGGTCTGTTCCGGAACAATGAAATGATGAATGCGCTTTTCACCTTGAAAACGAAGAACCCAACTCTTCACTGTGTCACTGTTACTAGCCTGATAGACTGACATTTGAGTGCCATGTGTCCAGGATTAAGCTAAATAGTTCTAGCACTGTGAGTTGGGATCAGTAACTCTTAAGCTACTTTTGTGCTATGGATAGGTTACAGATACGTTTTTTAAAAAAGGCAGATATGTCTGTATCTCAGAAGCAGTTGCAAAGCAGACTTCCCTTGCAAATGGAGTCCTGGGCTCTCCCTACATTTTGGCTATGCTAAAACCACTGTAAAGGATAAGGGGAAGAGCAAACCAGCCAAGAAGGGTGTCTGAATGTTCATTAAACTACAGGGGCTGCATCCAAAACTCTCCTAAACCATGTTGGTTATTGTAGCAGTGCAGAGGAGCATGTGTTCTCAGCTGCACCACAATAAATCTAGTATTTTTGTCAGTCCGGTTACACCCAGGGGCTTCACACAAGATCCCATTTCTCTGCTTCAAACTGTGGTGCTGTCTAAAGCCTTCTTGCTTGGTTGATCTTATTGATAAGCAGTTGCATTAATAACAGAAACAATCTTTTTGGTGCAGCATAGAAAATACAGAAATTATTTTTGAAGCCGCAACGCTGGATATTGTGGGGTTTAACTCACTGTCAGCCAGACTTGAAACACACTGTCAGTTTCTGATGCCCAGAATTCA